ATATATATATACATACATATATATATATATATATATATATATATATATATATATATATATATACATATATATACATACATACATACATACATACATACATACATACATATATATATTTAATTTCAGTTGTTTTAATGTTGATATTCAATAAGTAATCACAGATAGTAGATAGTGTGTGTTAACTTCAAATATTTTAAAATCAAGTAATCCACCCTACATTCAAAATCTCTCACTTGAAATGTGTGAGTATATTTACTGTACAAAACTTATCAGTGAACTATGAAGGCAAAAAACATAAAATCTGTAAATAAAATAATAGTTCATTAACCGTAATAGAGTAAAAATATTCAATAATCGAGATTTGTGGTCAGGAGCGCTGTGCGGCAGGCCAGAGTCACGATGGCAGTCATTGGAAAATGTCTCGATGCTCCCTATAGCCAGTCCGCCCCTGGCTCTGGTGATAAACGCTAATGATAGATCTTCCTTTGTAAAAATAACAGACCTAATAAACTGGGCTACTAAACTGTCGGAGGCCAGTTTTACTTAATAAACATTCCCACGTCTAAACTCGATGTAAAACAATATCCGCTTATGCCTAGTTCAGACTGCATGATTTTAGCCCTGATTTTGGCTCGCCGACAGGTTTTGAGAAATCGCCGACAAATGCCTGAAATCACAGGCAAATCGCTGCTCGTGCACGTGAGTGACAATCACACAGTATAAACGATCAAAGACGCGATCTGAGAGAATCGCAGATGAGTCGCCGATGCCTGCGGGATAATTGGCATGCTAAATATCTGGAGCTGTCGGCGATTCAAATCATGCCGTGTGAATTGAGTTTTGACTGAAAATAACATCAGCCATCGCTTACAGCCAATGAGAGAGCAGCTTTCACTTGTGTGTGCGTGTGTGTGTACCTGCTGCAGGCCAGCGGGAGGCTGGGGGAGAAGTTAAAAGCGCTCTTTTTCGGTTTATTTGGACTCACGAAATGGAGGGAAAACTAGTGGAGGTTTGACAGGACTCAGGAGCAACCGTGTCTGTTTGACGTTTCATACAGAAAGAAATTAGTTTATTATCAACGTTGAGGAGAAATGGCTAATTCCCTTTAAACCCAGGTGAGCAAACATGTACATTTTCTACCCCATTAAAGGCTTCTTTCTCATTATGTAGTTAATAACAAAAGATATACGACGTGTTTTTGGCTGTGAGACGTAGTTTGGACGAAGTTGTCTGCGATTATTCCTATAGTAAAGTCATGCAATGTGAATGTCCCTGTCGCCGATCCATCTTGCAGTGTAAACAAAGCAGCGACGAAACGCTAGCCCAGATAGTCAAGCAGTGTGAAAACCTCTGTGACACGACTACTTTGAAAATCATGCAGTCTGAACTCAGCATTATATGCTTCAGCACCAAAAACAAAAACTGGTCGGTTGAATAACAAAACAGCAGAAAAAGGGAAGATTGAGTGCGTTGAGGATCTGTCCAATGTATTATTGAGCCTTTTCTAATTCAAAGTTTCAGGTGGGCCTACTTTGTGTGTGAAGAGCAGGTAATTACCCTCTCTTCTAGGGTTGCTAGATTATGGGAAAAATCATAATCACGATTATTTTGGCCATAATTGTAATCACGATTATTCAAAACGATTATTGGTTGAAGTCAAAATTATTCGCCCTCCTCTGAATTTATTTTTATATATAAATATTTCCCAAATGATGTTTAACAGAGGATTTTTACAGTATTTCCAATAAAAAAATTTCTTCTGGAGAAAGGCTTATTTGTTTTATTTCAACTATAATACAAGCAGGTTTAAATGTTTTGAAATCTATTTAAACAGTTCGATATAATAATAATAATAATAATGCATTTTATTCAAAGGCGCCTTTCATGACTCTCAGTGTCACCGTACACCTAAAACAATCAATTCAAATAAAAACACAATAAAAACAATTGAATACAATACAACTTTAAAAATGCAATCGGGTCAAAGAGAATAGGCTGTTATAAACAGATGTGTTTTGAGTCTGGACTTAAATTGTGAAAGAGAGTCTAAGGCCCTGTTTACACTTATGCGTTTTTGTTTGAAAACGCATAAGTTTTGCTACGGTAACGTCAACTGTCCACACTACGCCGGAGTTCTCGAGCGCCGAAAATGGAGCGTTTTGAAAACGCTGGAGAGGCCGTTTTCATTCTGAAACACTGCTGCTCCGTCTTAGTGTGGATGAGGAAAAACGGAGACATCTGAAAACGAAGGCGGGACTGCTGAGATTTGCTACCTGATTGGGGCTTTTGTGTCATGGCGTATCCTTCCCTTATTCGTCAAGCCTCTATCACATGATTATAACACATGGCTTTAACGCTACTGGAAAACAGTACTGTAAACAACAGAAATGGGAGCGTTGTTTGCACTATTGTCTGTTTTAGGCGCCATTGTGCAGTTATTCATTTGTTACGTTTAGTAACAACTCAACCTCGTCGTCTGTCCACAAAAATACCTCTCTTGCTTTCTTTGCCATCGCGTTTAATGTTCAACCGACGTTTGTTGACTAACAATAACCAAAGGCCGAGCGAGACGCATGCTTCCTGTTTATACTAGAACGCGCATGCCCAGAGTGCGCGAATGGTCAAGTGATATACGTTTTTGGTGGCGTAGTGTGGACGGAGATATGTTCAGAGACGCTAGGTAAAACGCTAGTGTGGACGCGGATCGTTTTTGATCTAAAACGCCGTTTTAAAACTAAAACGCACTAGTGTAAACGGGGCCTAAGTTACGGAGATCAGGAGGAAGTGAATTCCAAAGCTGAGGAGCAGAGAGGCTGTAAGATCTGCTCCCCATGGTGACAAGGCGGACAGAGGGAACATTGAGGTGAATAGAAGAAGAAGACCTGAGTGTTGGAGAAGGTGTGACGATATGAACAAGATTAGCAAGGTATGCAGGAGCAAGATTGTGGACGGCTTTAAAGTTGAGAAGAAGTGTTTTATAATTAATTCTGAAAGAGATGGGAAGCCAGTAAAGCTGTTGTAGAATGGGTGTGATGTGACGGATAGAGGGGGTTTTTGTCATAATACGGGCTGCAGCGTTTTGTACCAGCTGTAATTTATGAAGAGCTTTTAGGAAGGCCTAACAGAAGGGAATTACAGTAATCTTAACGGGATGTGACTAAACTATGAACAAGAATGGCAGCTGACTGAGATGTGAGGGAAGGACGTAAACGATTTATATTTCGTAGGTGGAAATAGGCGGACCGGGTGACATTATTAACGTTCAGTGAATGAAAGGGTGCTGTCGAAGATGACCCCCAGACTCTTAACCTGAAGGTAGGGGGTAATGACAGAATCCTCTGTGGAAATGGAAAAACTATGTGAATTATTTAAAGTGGATCTTGTACCTATAAGTAAAAGTTCAGTTTTATTGTCATTTAATTTCAGGAAATTTGTGGTGAATCAGGATTTGATGTCTGCCAAGCAAATAGTAAGGAATGAAGGTGGGAGTTTGTGGTTGGGTTTGGTTGATGGGTAGAGCTGGGTGTCATCTGCGTAGCAATGAAATTGGATTTGGTGTTTGCGGAAAATATAACCAGGTGGAAGAAGAAAGATGATAAATAGCAGCGGACCCAAAACTGAACCCTGGGGCACACCTGTAGTGACGGAGACTGATGACGAGGTGAAAGACTTTAATTGAATGAACTGAGTGCGGCCTGAGAGGTATGATTGAAACCAGCTGAGAGATTACCAATGCCAATTGAAGCGAGCCTGTCCAGAAGAATATTATGTGAGATTGTGTCAAAAGCTGCACTTAGATCAAGCAGAAGAAGAATGGATAGTGAACCAGAGTCAGCTGCTAGGAGGATCATTAGTGATCTTGAGGAGAGCTGTTTCAGTGCTATAGAGTGGGCGAAAACTAGACTGGAATTGTTCGTATAAGTTATTACAGGAAAGATGGGTTTGAAGTTGAGCAGCTTCAGTTTTTTCAGAATTTTGGAGATGAATGGAAGATTGGAAATTGGACAAAAGTTATTAAGGTTATTGGGATCTAAACCAAGTTTCTTTAAAATTGGAGTAACAGCAGCAACTTTGAGAGAGGAAGGAACAATACCAGTGATGAGAGAGGAGTGAATTATGTCAGTGATGAGAGGAGACAGGGAAGGGAGTATGGCCTTTACAAGAGAAGTAGGTAAGGGGTCTAACATGCAGTTAGATGGTTTGGATTTACGAATAAGACTACATATGTCAGTTACTGAGGGTAGCACAAATTCTGAGAACGAATGTGAAGGGTTAAATATGACTTGGACAGGTGGATTCAAAACAGAAGTGGACAGAATTTGCTGATGAACGTGTTCAATTTTTGAAGAGTAAAATGAAGCTAAATTGTTACAGAAATCCACAGTATATAGGTTTGGAGGAAGTGAGATGGAGGGTTTTGTAATGTTAGTAAAGAGAGAAAATAGAGCTTTAGAATTGCCTTCATTGGTACTGATTAAACTGGAATAGTTTGTGGATTTAGCCACAGAAATACAGTCTTTATAGTGATGAATGTGATTTGCATACCTGTGCTTGTGTACAGTGAGATTGGTTTTCCTGTAGAGTCTTTCAAGCTGACGTCCTTTTGATTTTAATTTTCTAAGAGCAGGAGTGAACCAAGGTGCAGACACAGTAAATGAAACAGTCCTGGTTTTTAGTGGCGCATGATTATTTAGGAGGTTGTGAAGGTTATTGTTGTAGTGAGAGAGCAGTTCATCTGGTGAATAGAGACAGTCAGTACTGGGAAGGCTGTTGATATCAGAAGATAGTGTCCAAGTTGATGTCCTTAATTTTTCGGAATGATATTGTGCGTGAAGGATTACATTTGGAAAGTGAGAGATTAACACTGAATGAAAGTAGCATATGATCAGAGAAAGGGAAGGAGTCAGCTTTACAATTGTCAGGTGTAACACCAGAACAGCAGATCAAGTCCAGAATATGACCTTTACCATGTATGGGAAAATCTACGTATTAGTCCAAAACTATCTAAACAGGATGTGAAATCTTTGGTGTGAGTGTTGTTATTATTATCCATATGAATGTTAAAATCTGCAAGAAGTATTATGGCGAGAGTGCAGAAAGATGTGTCATTAATGCCGCGAGGTCTGCAATAAATTCGCTATTTGGCTTTGGTGGGCGGTACAAAACTGCAAGGATTGTGGGAGTTGGTCCAGAGAGCTGACATACAGTTACCTCAAATGATTGACAGGTAGGAACGCTGACTGATGCGATCCTCCATTTCTCGCAGTGAATTATCGCGAGACCGCCTCCTCTGCTACAGTCACGCGGTCGAGAAATACAAACAAAACCCCGGCAGAGTAGCATCATTTAGGGAGCTAAAATCATTTGGCTGCTGCCAAGTTTCATCAAGGCATAAAAAGTCAAACTTACGGTCAGAGAGGAGGTCCTGCACAAGACACCCCTTACTCGAGAGCGAGCGGATGTTAAAAAGACCAAAGTTGACATCAGTGCTGGGTTTGACAGCTGTGATTGCCGACCTGGTAAGGCAGGTCAACACACTGTGATCAGTGTGGCAGCGGATATTCCTCGGTGGACGTCGAGATGTTTATGGAGTTGGTTTCGTCGTACTGAAAGTTCCGACGAGAGCCACGGTGGATGTATTTCCTTCGAGGCAAGTGCAGGATCTCCGGGTGCTGGAGCAGATAAGGTGAAGGTGGATTGTGTGGATATAGGCGGAATTTCAGAAGTTTGGCTGCAGTATACTGGAGCAGAGCTGTCGATGGATGACAGACACACAGGACAGTCCAGGCAAGCACAAACCACACACTGTTAATCCACATAGCTGTCACTGGAGATTGTCATCACAGGTCTACCCCACAGCCAATATTGCAGAGTTCGCCAGTGAAATCCTGAGATATGTAATCTTAAAATAATATACTTTAAGAAAATTGACTTAAGACAGTTAAAATAGATAAAACAACATAAAATACCCAGAGAGCAGCGGCAGCATAGACGCGCCAGCGTTCACTCTACCGGGAAGTAGTCTGTGAGTCTGTTTCTCACGAACACAGAGCCGGGCTGCTCAGGTAAAGTCTGTGTGGGAAGTGCTGATGTTGACTTGGGTCTCACACTAGATGTTCCTCGATATGCCATCCATGGTTGAATGCGTTTTTTATGAGGTTCGCACGTTGTGTGACATGCCACCATTCGGTACCATGCGTTAGCAACGTATTTAACACATTGTAAAGACCACTTGTTGTGAATTCAAATAATAAACAGTTGAGAGATGCTGTTGTTGATGGCGTCAGCATGTGCTACAGTCACAGAAGATTTCCAACGTAATACACCATAAGTAACTGTGAAGAGCATGTTGTTTTACCATGAATTAAGTCATTAATAGAGCTTATTAAAGAAGAAAATCACACGTGCAACTAAATCAATTTTCCACTTCGCACAGGTCTATTTTTAGTCACAAATGCGAGCGAAATGGTCGCACTGTCGAGCTCTGTATCGATATGAACGATACTGGAAAAAACCGCATTGCGTTGGGGAATCATATCGATATATCACCATAATCCAACATACCGCCCAGCCCTAAAATCCACCACTTCAAAGCGACATATTATAATCAATGCATTGTCTAAATATGTGTAAAAGCATCTAAAGGTAATGATGAAATGGTAATACGGTTGATTTTATACGACAAGTGTTTTAAAATTAATGATTGGAAGATCAGTGTATCTTGCTTCTGAAATGAAGTTTACAAAAATACACCAAAAGTGATCATGAATGAAACTTTAGTGATGGTAAACTTTCACTTTCTTAAATAATTAATTTTAAAGTCTTTTTATTTTTATTTCAGGCCTGATGGAGGAGACACATGAGAAAATCATAGAAAATACACACTCACTGAAGAGAAAAGGCAAAAAGTGTGTCACCTGCACTCAGTGTGGAACAAGTCTGTTTAACAAAAACAGTCTCAGAAATCACATGATGATCCACACTGGAGAGAAACCATTCACATGCTCCCAGTGTGGGAAGACTTTTAGACACTCATCAAACTTTATTAATCACATGAGGATCCACATTGGAGAGAGACCACACCAATGTGATCAATGCAGCAAAACATTTTTGACGGCTTCATACCTGAAGAAACACCTTCGAATTCATACAGAGGAGAAGCCTTATTTATGCACTGTGTGTGGAAAGACTTTCAGACATGAAGATAACTTAAGAGATCATCAGAAGATCCACACCGGTGTGAAAGAGCATATTTGCTTGGAGTGTGAGAAGACCTTTCTTACGGCTGTGAAATTGAAAATACATGAGAGAACTCACACTGGAGAGAAACCTTATAAGTGTTCACACTGTGACATGAGATTCAGTCTGTTAGAAAGCCTGAAAAGACATGAGAGAATTCACACTGGAGAGAAACCGTACAAGTGTTCACACTGCGACATGAGATTCAGTATATTAGAAAGCCTGAAAAGACATCAGAGGACTCACACTGGAGAGAAACCTTACGTATGTTCACACTGTGACAAGAGATTCTGTATATTAGGAAACCTTAAAACACATGAGAGAACTCACACTGGGGAGAAACCCTACATGTGTTCACACTGTGACAAGACATTCAGTATATCAGGAAGCCTGAAAAGACATGAGAGGACTCACACTGGAGAGAAACCTTACAGGTGTTCACACTGCGATGAGAGATTCAGAGATTTAAGGAATCTGAAAAAACATGAGAGGATTCATGCCAGAGAGAAGCCTTGTGACCTTGAAGGTGTAAGGGTCGCCATAGTCTAACAAAACTGCGTATCTGCTTTGATTTTGTTTTTTCAGATAATCAATTCAGACACGTGCAGTGAATTTAGCTCAGTTTTTGAGTATTATGATCAATAATAATGAGTTATTACTAATTATGAATATTCAGAATTAACTTGTAGTTAATTTAACAAAATAAATATAACAATGACTTCACCCTTTCGTCTGAGCAGACTCTGTAATTATTCATTTATTTAGAAAGGGAATTATAACTACTCGTGAAGTAGATGAATAGTTTATAAGTTTTAGTAAACTTAATCAGCTTGTAGCAAGGGTTTATCGTTAAAGGGACTTTTTCTGTGAGGCAAAACAGATAATCCAGCGTGGTTATAGCGTGATTGACTAGTCTGACATAAAACAACCAAACACACAAACATAACAACAAAAACAGAGAAAACAAGGAAATGAAGAGTTTAGATAAAGGAATAGCAAATCTAGCTCAGTTCCACACAGCTATTAAAAACCACCAAGATTTGGAGACAGGACTTGGGTCTTGATTAGGGATGTAACAATATTGTAAATACCGTCATACCGCAATAATATTTTTTTTCAATATTACTGTCAGAAAGCCCACTAGGAACCGAAAATATTCAGCGAGTTTCACACGGACTGTTATTAGCGGTAAAGATGCTTTGAAGCAAGTAATAAACAAATGCCAAATTCCTCCGTCAGAGATGAAACCTTTTATCAACGCTTACATTTTAAACAAGTGGCAAAAGGAATGGGATGCATTAGAAAACAATAAACTACATGAAATCCAACCTGAAGTTTCACACAGAATTTTAAGACATTTTAAGAATCGATTTGATCAAGTAGTTTTTACCAGATGCCGTATTGGACATACGAGAATTACACATGGATTTTTGCTCCAAGGTGAAAACCCCACTCAGTGTTTGTGCTGCAAAACTCCTATTACTGTAAAACATATTTTACTGGACTGTCCTGCTTTTACTGATTCCAGAAGGACTTTTTATGAAATGAACTCTTTTAAGGACATTTTTGACAAAGTGGAACCAGAAAAGATTTTAGAATTTTTATCATGTATTAACACAAAAAATCTTATTTAATTTATGTTTTATTTTGTTTGTTGATTTTTAAATTGTATATTTATTGTTGAAAGATTCCTGCCATGAAGATAGCCTTGGTTGCTGACATGGCACTAAATAAAAAATACATTACATTACGTTATTAGCGGTGCAACTTCCCATACTCGGATGCCGGGCCAGATCCCAATGCGCTCCTTTTCTTCCGACATGTTGTGCGTTCATGCACCAAGTACCACAACATACTTGAAGGAAAGTTTGATGGCACTGACTGCTTAATAATTGTTATTAAAGAAGTTTGAAGAGGATTACTTCTTTGTTGCCTGATTGTCTGACCGGAATCAATGTCCATATTTGTCTGCCAGTAGAACTGTAAATTTACTTAGTTGACAGAGGCATAGTACCCCGTCACAATTACCGTAGGCGCATGACTCAATAAAACTATATTTCTGAGAAAAGTTTGCTCAGGCGAATGAAGCGAACGGGAGGTAGCGGGAACTACAATTCCCATCAGCCTAGGCGTGGCCATCGTCCTTTGCGGTCTGTTGTCGCTACAGATCCAGTAATGTGGAAATGGAGTGTGCTGCTAGTAGCGGGGAAGAAAAAGAGCTGGAAACGATCGAACCTAAAGCGGGTTTTAAATCGGATGTGTGGGAGCATTTCGGTTTCTTTCTAAAAAGATACGAAAAAGGAGAAAAGGTGACAGACAAAGACAAAAACAATATGCAGGCACTGCCAGACTGTGGTGAAATATAAGTCGGGGAATACGACTAATAACAGTCATGGGGACTGCAGAACACAGCACACTGTTCAGATTGATGCAGACATTGACTTGCACCGCAAAGAGATCTCTATCTCACTCATGACTTGTCCTCTCAAGTGGGGGAAAGACAATGCACAATGTTACCCACTGCTGTCAACCTTGGCTAAGTCATATCTCTCTGTCCCAGAAACCTCAGTCCCAAATGAGAGGGGTATTTTCTGTTGACGGGGACATGCCCAGAGATCCCAGCTTTTACCAGATTACAGTTATATGATCATTTTCCTTAAATAAACCATTTCTATCTAAGTGAGTGAGTGATTAAATGTTGAATGTGATGAACTTTCAACAATACTAAATTAAAACTTTATTTTTTTTTATATGGTTTAATAGTTTTTGGTTATTAAAATTGAAGTTCCTGTTTCAAAACTTACAGATAGATGGCTAATTTGTATGTCATTGATATGTTCAGTGCTAAGGTAAATAAACACTTTTGGCACTTTTTTCGAGTCTTTTCATTAGTTTTGTTTTCCTGTAAATCACTCAATAAATACCGTACCGTGCCATTCACACCGAGGTATTACCGTACCGTGAAATTCTGATACCGTTACATCCCTAGTCTTGATAGATAAGATGGCAGACTTGGGGTCACAAACTCATGTGGACTGACCCAGTGCCTTTTAGGGGTCATAATTTCCTCTGGACTGTACGTTACACACGTGTGATAATATGAACACAAGGACTCACTCAACATCAGGCCCGGATTGGCTAATCGGGAGGACCAGGAGAATTCCCGGTGGGCCGGTCCGTTTTTTGGCCGCGAGGGCCGGTGTCCCTATCTCCAGAATCTGCTGCTCTCAGCAATCACACTTTTTAAATTTATTTATTTACTTGACCACAGCCTTTTTATTCATTATTATAACGCAACTCTTCTCTTTTGATCTATTTTAATGATGATAAAACTCAGTTGTGTCATCATTCATATAACAGTTGTTGTGGTCGAGCGGATAGCACGTTAGGTTAAGACGCCGCGGACCCGGGTTCGATCCTCGTTAGAGTACTTTAGTGTTTTCATTTTTATTGATAAGACATATAATACTGTTAGGATTGTTGAACATTTGAAGTTCTAAAGCAGCTGTTTTCTCAAAAAAAAAAAAAAAAAGACGTGATAGTGTCATTAGAAACTGATTTGGAAATATTTATTTATTTACTTATTTTAATATAGTCAGTCGTGAACTGAGGTGGGCCGGTCAGAGACTTGAAACTCCAGAGCTGAAAAGGTGTCCCACTCCGGCCCTGCTCAACATCCAATTAACTCCAGAACAAATGGGTAACAAACTTTTCTTCCAGACAGAAATGAATCCTTTCTGAAATCCATATATTAAAAATCAACAGACAGACTTTTAATTTCACTACACGACACTTGTATGACACCTGAAACTGTTTATATTGAACACACGTTAATCATGAAATGAAATCTTGCATTGGTTTGCCATGAATGTTTGTCACGTGTGGGATGAATGAATGTTGAAAACTTCTTGTAGCTGACGCTGATTGGTCAGCTTGTCATTTTGTTTATTGGTTTGTATTTCATTATTTGAATGTGTATTGGTATATGTTTGTTACTAATTTCTTTGTTTCCGGTTGGCTTGAGTGGAAAGTCACATGATTCTCAATGATTGATTTAACCTGCGAGAGTTTGTATGGTCACTCAGGATAGTGAGATCTCAATGATCTGTTAAATGCTCCTGCTTATTCTTATTCTACAGCTGGTTATCAGGCCAACACGGTAAACTAAACATTGTTTTATATATTATTTGTTATTTTGATGTCCTTTTGATTGTGTTTGTGTGAAACATTTGGTTTGTTCATTTGTTTATCTTTTAGTTTTCACGGTGTTCAATAAATGAAATGCATGGTGGACATCAGTATTTGGAAGCGTGGACTGTTTATTGACCGGCGGTTAGTTACTTTTCTCCTCCTTTCAAATGCTTTATCTATGAATTTAATCAAACAAATGTGAAATGTTTTTTATTACCATTAAACTTTTATACTTTAAACTTTACCATTAAGTGTCATAACGTGAGGAGTCATACCGAGGGCCAGACAGAATTTGAGGATATTTTTAGCTATTTCTGCGCAGAATTTCGTGGAAGATATGCAGATTTATGAAGAATGATTTTGGGAGTGTCGTAACTAAACACTTAATATGTGAAATAAAAAGTCCTACCTTTAACTTTTATTCAATGTTTACAATAAAAATCCAATTAGATCCACTTATTTAGTAAACAAAGCAAGTCTCTCATATAATATATCGACTAAAAGACAGAAAATATTACTTTACAAACTGTATTGTAAATAAATCATAACGAATAAATGAGTAATATTACTGAAATTAAGTTATAAACTGAATAAGTATTAATTTACACACATTTACACCAGAAAATAAATAGACTCAATCATGGGCTAAAAAGCTGATTTCCTCCTGGCGCCCGGTGACCGCTGTAAGTCGCTGTTGCTGTGATTGTCCTCTAGATGGCAGTAGTACACAGCACACTGATAGCGGAGGCGCTGGAGGAAAAGCTCAGAACAAGCAACATTAAACTCGTGTTGAAGATGAGAAGAAACAAAGAGGCTACACTTCAGCTTTTATCAACTCTAGAGAGATTATTTAGCGAACACGACACAACTCCTGCATTTCTTCATTATATCCTGGCTCTTGACTGTCAATTCCTCTGTGAAAGCGATCAGGAATAGCGGACTTTTACCGTGTTCATATGTAAACAGGTAACGTTGTGTTTCTCTCCTTATTTATTAGTTCAGATTCCTACTTTCTCAATATTCAAGTGTTTTTCTCTCGGCTGTGTTCCTCTTCAGTGTCGGTTTTCAGCTTTGTTTTTGCTTGGTTTTGGCCACTAACCTCTTTATTAAAGCTCTCGATGTAAAAGCTTCTCGCGGTAAAAGCACAGGTTATGATTCCTGTTTACTTTCACACATTCTTATACTTCAGGATTTGTCTGATCTTTATTAGCGGCAAATGAAATGCTGTGTTCACTCATTTCACCCTCATGGACAAATACTGTAGTCATTTATAGGAAATAGTGTAGTATAAACACAAAACACCAACACTGTACTACATTTACAACAACTATATTACAACACAGCACAGTTTACTGCAGTAAAAACTCATGTTTACTACAGTATGCAGAGCATTTTCTCATTTCACCACAGTTACTGCTGCATCATTCAATAACAGTTGTAAATACTATAATAAATAAATACACTTTATTATAGTATGGTTGAAAAACACTTTAGTATTTACTATGAATTACTGTAGTATCTTTCATGTGCTA